TTGACACACTTTAGCTGGTGGGCATCAGTCCTCTGCTGACCCCAGTTGGGCCAGCTTCTGACACAGATGTGTGCCATCTATTCTACCCCACGGGCAAGAGGTCACTACCATGTCTGACAGGTGTTTCTCAAGCATAGGTGAATCATGAGTTCATTTTGGCACTAGGCAAACATGAGTCAAGTGCTCACATGCCTTCATCGGTTGAAAAGTGAGCTGTGGGTTTTACAACCTTGCTGCTCGACAGACCACGTGTAGATGTCAAAAATAAAACCAAAACTGAGTAAGTTCTAAGCATCATTTAGTTCGCCTGTCCACTCCTGCTCAGGGTTTCGCAGACGACGTTATAAGAGCGCTCGCTATATAAAAGTTGTGCACACTCTGTCGTCGGCACAAGCTCCATCGAGGGCTCCGAGGTTCTATTATCACGTCAGATGTGCTACACAAGCCTGCCAGAAACACAAGTTAATTATGTTACCGGTGTATCCAGCTGGTTAATTGATTGATGAGGGCATTCTGCGTATTTATCATATTGCGGCAGCCTTTTTGGATGCTATACTTTTCAGTAAATTGAAAGGTAAATTTTACTCGAAACAGCGTAGCTCGGTAAATTCCATTGCTTGCGCTAGCTGTCATTGATTCATACACAAGAAATGTCATAATAATTTCATAAGCATGTCAGATAGATGCAAACATTTCCTGAAAGCATTGATATAATGAACTTCTTTCAACTGTTCATATTTTTAGTTGTCAGATGTACTAATATAGTGAGTCTCGTTTGGGTAAACATGTTTTGTCAAAACGGTACCTTCCAAGTTTTACCTTTCACAATCGACGTAGATGTTCAAGAAATGCTATTTTCCTGAAATTGGACATACAGTTTGGGTAACTGTTATAATTCTTAGTACACGGATGATACTACGGGGCAGCACTGAATGTATTTTCTCGGCAATCGTCTTTTGCTAACCAAAATATGAGTATAAAGTGTCGGTGCGTGTTAAAGCACCTTCGCGTGGCAGGGACACCCTTATCGAAACTGTCATTGAAAGAGCGTTTGTAAAAATAAAAAGCTAGCAAAAAAAGAAAATTCATTCATTCGCGGCAAGTGGATGCCTGTCTCTGTGTGACTGTGCTTGTCCGTGGGCGTCAACGAACAGCTTGCGGCAGCACATACACTGGCGTAAATATCGACGTGTGCGTCGTCCTGCGTCAGCAACAGCATGCACGCACTCAGCTCACAGTCTCACGTGCATAGCGCACAAGCTCTTCGCGTAGGATTTAAGAGTGCACTCAGCGTGATAGCCTATTAAGCCCTGCTGCAGCCCTTTCACCACACGGCTGACCAGCAAGTCAGAAATCGAAAAGGAGCCGAATAAGGTGATTGGCGATTAGGTCGATTTATTCCGACAAAATAAGAGAGACAAGACAGTTCTGCAGCTAATCTTCAAAATGGAACCTCCAAAGGCCAAAATCACCCATAAGAAACGTGGCAACATCTACTTTGCCGGTACATGCTTGGTTTCTGGACCATTTGAAATCAAAGACAATGAAATGTTTGGAGCAGAGGGCGGGAACAAAGCGATGAAGGCCAGTGTGGAAAAAAAGAAGGGAATAAAAACGAAGATTAATGCTCTTCAGGATTCACTGTTTATGAAGCGGAACTCAAGGCTGGGAAAGAAACCACCGCACAGCACTATAAAGTATCAGCACATAAAGCACTACTATCAGTATGCTCAAGAGGAAAATATTGTCATTTTGGCACTGCAACAGCCAAAAATGCGGAAGCAGTACATCGCCCTGAAGTTTGAGGATGCAGCCACGACCGCAAAGTTTTGTGACATTGTCCAGTACGCATCAGTTGCACCCAGTCACAACCTGAAAAATGCTGCTCCAATGCCAGAACCTCCTGTTGTGATGGCGTCCGGTCGTCAAAGCGCGCAAAGTCCGTCGGCACCAGCGAGTGTGATTGAAGAAACAGCTGTTTCACCACCCAGAGCATTAACGCCCTCCCGGTCAGTGTCACGTTCTTCCTCCA